GCCAATCTTGGTCTGTGTGTAGTGAGACAATTAATTGGTGTTAATCGTAATACTATACACTACCGGTATGATGAGAAGCCTATGGGTCACTATTACTGAAGTTAAGTTATACCAATGATATGAATTCAGGCTTCAAAATCCCCTTAAACTGAAGAAGAAAGATCAGCCGCACATCTTGACGTAGAAAGTAAAAGAAAACCCAAAAAAAACTATTGCCATTCTCCTTTCCTTTTAGCCTAACAACTCATAAATAAATAACATGTTTTTTTCTTCCTTCTCCACCAGGAAAAACGGAAATTACTTTCCTAGATCTTTCCTAAACGATAGACTTCCAAAACTATCAAAATCTTATCAGATATGGAAAACAGAATTCGTAATCCAGTTTTCACCAGGATTTTCACAATGTAAAAGAACTTTTATGGGCTTGGTCACTTCATAAAAGTTGTAGTCCTAGATGTGTGGATGAATTTGGGCTTTTGAATCACCTGCTTTCGATATCTGAAGCTCTAGTTAGGCCTATTTGAAGACTCGATACTCAGCTAGGAAATCCTTCCGTGACTAGGATTCCAGGTCCGGTTTTGCAACAACTAATGAGGGCCCGAACGAACTCGAATTCTCACCCATAATACCTTCCTGGAAAGCTTGATTTATCTACTTTACTTTTCCTGAAGAAGCCTTTTGCAATTGAGAAATCTGACTCTATGAAAAACCTGAAAAATGCAGCACTGGTCAGAATAACAAAAACTCTGGAATTTCCTAATCTTTTCTCAATTATGTCATAAAGTCTATCCAAATATGCCAAACTTACAAAATAAACTCTAATCAACTCAACTAAGCATAAAACATAACAAAAAACATAATATGGAAGGAATAAAAATATATAAATTACACTCTTATCAGTCACACACATAGAAGATAATTTACGAGCTAGCTTAGAAGAAGGGCATTTTCGTCTTTTTAGGCGAAAGGGTATTTTGGTAATTTCAAAGTGCAATTAAATTTGCTAAGGTCGTAGCCTTTATTTAATTTGATATTAAAATTAAATAAGTGAGATTACGTTTAAATATGTGTTCGCATATATTTAAATAAATTATCATTATTATGTTAAATGTTAATATATATATATATATATTGTAAATATATATTAATTGAATTTAATTGAGATAATGATAAATTAATATTAAAATATCTTAAAGGGGGTGTTTGGAATCAAGGGGTGTTTGGGTTGGAGCCCAAGCCCATTCCATGATGGAATAGGGTATAGTGTGCACTATGTAAGTGCACACTTTGTGAAATAAAAACTTTAACTAATTCAATCAATGAAAGAAAAATTCCAGCCCCTTTGAACACTCTCCACGCCAGTTTTGCTTTTTGCTAAAAATCAATTACACTTTGATTTCTTCTTGGTTCTTAAAGGCTAAAGAGGATCTAACAAATCCCTCTCTAGTTCCTTGAGGTTATCTTCGTGTGGACAACATTGGTTCGATCCTACACTTGGGTCGGTAGCGAAATACATTCAGAGACAAGTTGGAGAAACCTCCAAATGTGCGTATGATTTCTTAAAACTCTAAAATAAAATCTGCAGATTCTTATCTAATATATATAAACTGTAATTTTGTACCTAGATCTTAGTTCTAAGTAACAATCCATGTTGTAAATGTTTTGTTTTTCCATTGCATTACTGGATCGTTTTACTAACAATGTTGTCCAAAGCAGACACAGAAATAATATTCTTTGAAATTGAAGGAACATAAAAACAATTCACAAGTTCCAACACAAGGCCCGAAGGCAGATTTAAATAATAATCCCCTACAACTAATGTAGTTTGCGTGCTCCATTCCTAACTCGTAGGTCCACCTCTCATCGACAGAAAAGTCTACTTTGTCGTAGTCCCTGCACAGAAGTGCAAATATGAGACCACATCCTATGTCAATAACCCTAGATGTAACAGGAGATACATTGATTTCAATCATGTACATACCTTTAGAAGAAGATGTAGGCTTCTTCTTCTCCTTGCTTGCTAGGAAGGCCTTGCAATGTTTCTTCCAATGGCCAGGCTTGCCATAATGGAAGCAGACAACCTTTCCATCTTTGCATACAGACTTAAGAGTATCCTAAGGTTTTGTATTTGAGCTTGGTTTTGGTGTTAGCCTCACCCTTACTCTTGTTCGCCCCTTAATAAGTTTTAGCGACTACTATCACTACTGGCTTTGACCTTTTGCTCTTACAGTCCTTAAACGTGCTCAGGGAGGGATCTCTCATTCATGCTCATGTTATATATGAACTGAGAATCTAGTAAGGACTAAGTCAATTGCTAAGTTATTGTCTAAACCAGAACCCAATGTCTCAAATCTTTTGATATACCCAATCATGTTGAGTACATGAGGACCAACTTTGGCACCCTTATCCATCTTGTTATTCCTAGGTGATGTCATCACCTTACTCTTGAGGTCGAGCTTGCCCCAAGGTATAATTTTCTTATAGATTCCTAGTGTAATTTAAAGATATCAATACATCTCCATAGATTTACTAACCATACCGCTTGTTTCCTTTTGATGATCGATCGCTATGGGCGTCAACCCATTAAATGGACTTCTACAAGTACAAATTTTACAGAGTTAATATTCTTTTATTAATTAATAAGGCCTTTTATTAATTGATATACTCCCACTATTTTTATTCAAGTTATTAGCCTTCATTTTTAAACTTTAGAAGGCCCGTTGGTCTTCCTAGTGGGTCGAAATCCCATCATTCCTAATTTGACCTCTTGCAGGAGCAAGTAGACCAAAGTGGGATCAGTAGGTAGGCCACAAGCTCTAGCTTACACCATTTAATAGCACCAATTTATTAAACTCAAACGTAAGTATTATAGACAAACCAATTACATAATCCAATGAGCAACAACCATTGGCCTCAACTGTAACTATCGGATCGGTGAGTTTGAACACTACATGCCCACTCATGCATTTTAAATATGCACTACTTTACTGATAATCTGAGGATTATATTGTTTTATTGAGGCTTTTTGGCCGGATTTTGGATACTTCTTATGTCGTTTTTGCCTAAATTGTAACCTAATTTCATATGTTTTATGTTTTAGGCTAAAACCTGCACTTTGAGCAAATAAAGAGCGGAATTGAGTTTCTGGACCCAAAAGCAAACAAATCTCAAGATTCGGGAAAATTCTGACGCGGATTTTAAGCACTATGAAGTTATTCCTATTGGACAGCACCAAAGATTGAAGATTCAAGCAAGGAAGCAAGTGGAGGGCAATTCCTTAATTTCAAGAATGGTTCAGAAAGGTCGTCATGGCGAAGTTCTTTATTCACCGCGGCGATGAACTGTCGGGAATTCATTGCCACAGCGAAGTTTATTCTTCGTCGCGACGAAGTCTGCGATTTCCAGTTTTTATCAAAACGCACAGTTTTATTTTAGAAAAGTTTTTAGGTTTTTGGACCGACTATATAAGAAAAACTTAGCCATTTTTAGGGGAGTTCGACATTTTGGGAGAGAAGAAGAAGAGATTTGAGATTGAACTTCTTGGATTCTTTAAATAGGGAAGATCTTTGTTCTCTTTTCTTTATTTCAATATGTTGGATATATTGTTTACTGTTTTCACTTCTATTTGTGTTAATTTCAATATGAACTAACTCACCTTGGGTTAGGGTTTTGATGTAATTAGGATTTTTATGTTTAATCAGTAGATTATTGTTGCTTTCACATTCTATTGCATGGGTTGTGTTATTATTCTTGGTTTTATTGAATTTATTTGTTGAACATGATGAGATTGAGAAATGAATCATGTATGAGCTTCTTAGGGTAATCACCATTGTTGTATCGAATGCTAGAGATAGGTTTGAAAATCAATGAAATCAATTTAGAATTCCATTAGCCTAACCAACTTTGATCTATTAATCTTCAAATTGTTAGGTGCGGAAGCTTAATAGGGAAAAGTAGGAAAACATAGCCTGAGAAGGTATGTTTTTCACATTAGGGAGTTTGATTTATAATCCGTGCATGTGAGTGTAGAGGTAGCATAAGTCGTAGATTAATTCATAGAATCCTAATAAAGCCAAAACCCTAACCGCTTGCTTTAACTGATATTTTCTCTCAAACTAGTTTTGCTGTCATTAATTAGCCTTTTAAATATGTAGTAAGTTTTGTTTTTCACTTTAGCTTAAATTCATCTCGCAAATCCAAACATTTTTGGTTTCTCCAACTTGATAACAACTAGGAAAATCAGTGTTTAACAAACAATCCTCGTGGGAACGATACTTCACTTATCACTTTATTACTTTGTATGAGTAGTGCACTTGCTATACATTGCATGTTGTAGTTACAATGCATCAAGTTTTTGGCGCTGTTGCCGGGGATTAATTTTGTGTTAACATTGAACTTTTCTTTTGTTAGCTAGATTAGAGTTTAATTTTTGTTTTAATTGTTTTATAGTTTAATTTTTGTTGTTCTTTTCTGTTAGCTTGTGATCTCATGTTTTCTCTCATTTTGTGTAGTTTATGCGAAGAGCTAGACGTCAGCCAGTGGTTCCTATTGAGCCAGAGATTGAAAGAACCGCAAGAAGACTTAACAGAGAGAGAAGATAACGAGAGGCGGTAGTTGTTGAGATGGCGAAAAATAGAACAGTGAGGGAATTTTCAATTCCCACGGTTGATGGCAATGGTTCAAGCATAACTAGACCAGTAGTACAAGCCAACACCTTCGAAATAATGCCGGCAATAATCCAGATGGTCCAACAGTCAGTGCAATTTAAGGGAGATTTGAAAGAAGATCCAAATTTGTACATTGCAAACTTTTTAGAGATCTGTGATACCTTCAAGTCAAATTGAGTGTCAGATGACACCATAAGATTGAGATTGTTCCCTTTTTCATTAAGGGATAAAGCAATGGGATGGTTAATGGCACTACCACCAGGAACGATCACAACATGGAATGAATTAGCACAGAAGTTCCAGACCAAATTCTTTCCTCTAGTAAAATCTACAAAGATGAGAAATGATATTGCATCGTTTCTACAGGAAGAGATAGAATCACTATATGAAGCTTGGGAAAGATACAAGGAACTATTAAGGAGGTGTCCACACCATGGTTTGCCAGTATGGATGCAAGTCCAAACATTTTATAATGGATTGATGGTTAATGTGCAAATGATGGTGGATGCAGTATCAAGAGGAGTATTGCAAAACAAGACACCTAAAGAAGCTCATGAGTTGCTTGAAGTTCTGGCAAGCAACAATTATCAAAGACCGAATGAGAGGATGCAATCGCAGAAATCTATCAGTCTTCATGAAGTTGATGCATACACGACCATTTCAGCTCAACTTATAGCACTTTAGAAGCAATTGGGAGGTATGCAAGTGAATTCTATTCAAGCACATCAATTAACTTGTGATTTTTGTGCAGGTAACCACATGAGCAATGAATGCCAAGTAGGAAACACTTTTGCTTCAGCTTCATCATCATTAAAACAAGTCAACTACTTGGCAGGAAATCAGAGGCAACAGCGCAATCCTTTCTTCAACACGTATAATCCTGGTTGGAGGAATCATCCAAACTTGTCTTGAGCAATCAGAATCAATAGAATCAGTAGAACAACCAATGGAACCAAATAGCGATGCCAAACAATCAAGCAGAGGTGAATTATCAACCAGGGGAGCAAAGATTGACAAAACTAGAGGATATGTTCAAAAAATTCATGCAAGAGACCACGGGTTTCATGAATGAGATGAGGGCGAATTTCAGAAACCAAGGCGCATCCATTCGAAACTTGGAGGTACAAGTGGGTCAATTGGCCGATAAGCTGAATGAGAGACCACAAGGTTCCCTACTGAGCAACACAGTGATAAATCCACAAGAACAAGTGAATGCAATAACTTTGAGAAGTGGAATAGTCTTGGAAGAGGTTGAGAAAATAGGGAAAGAAGAAAGCCCACCAAAAGACAAGGAAGATTCTGATGAGGAAGTTGACAAAGAAATCAATACTGAAGAGAAACCAACCAGCCATAGGGAAGAGGAACCAAAGCAAGAAGAGAGGCAAAGGCAAAAGAAAGAAAAATTACCATTTCCCGAGATACCACAAGAGTTGGCACATGACATTCCTCCAGTGCCTTTTCCTTAGAGGCTTAGAAAGGAAAAACAGGATAAGCAGTTCACTAAATTTCTTGATGTATTTAAAAAAATACATATTAACATTCCTTTTGCAGATGCCTTTTTTAGATGCCGAGCCACACAAAATTTCTCAAGGAAATTCTGTCAAACAAAAAGAAGTTGGAAGAGGAGGAAACATGAATGCTTACGGAGGAATGTAGTACCATTCTACAGAAGAAGTTGCCACCGAAACTCAAGGATCCAAGGAGTTTCACTATCCCTTGTGTTATAGGAAACATTACATTTGATAAAGTTTTGTGTGATCTGGGTGCATGTAAAGCCCCACTTGAGGTATGTACTCAAGATTTGCTGTATTGCTTACATGTGTATTGGTTTAGTTTTAATTGAGTTTGTATGTTGAGTTGGTTGAGTGTTTGCCCTGAAAATTATGAAGACTTGGCGAAATGTTGTGTTATAGACTTCGCCGGGGCGAAGAAGAATCTTCACCGCAGCAAAAAGGTGCTGCAGCCCACGGAGTCGCTGCTGGAGTGTTTCGCCGCGACGACGGGTCGACTGAAAAGTTTTTTTAAGTTTTAGATTTTTTTCCTTAAGGGTAATTTGACCATTCTACCCCTAATTAGCAGGAAACGTGGGGAGTAAAATGTAAGGAAATTTCATGGAAAATATTTTGCAAGGAATCAAAGGATGTGGATGGAATTTCCAAGAAAGAGTAAGGGCAAAATGGGAATGCTTGTGTATAAGTTGAGCTAAAAAGGGTTAAGTGTAGAGAATCCTTCATTTCATCCATTTCCACCGCCTCTTCCATTCTCTACTTCTTCTCAAATTTCCTTCAATCTTCCAAGGATTTCTAAAGACCTTTTTGAGTAATTTTTAGTAGAGTTTTAATCTAAAGCATCCTATAGTAAGGATTCTTGCTTTAGATGAGAGTTTTATTATGTTTTGGTTAAGGTCTTATGTTGTGGTTGTTATTTAAAGTTGTAGAGAGAAATCAAGCTACCAAAGGAAAGGAGAAGTATTAGAGAAGCTATTTCCTCACAAGGTAAGTAAATCCTAACTAAGTTGAGATTTGAGAATTTAATTGAGTAGAGATTTTGTATGTATATGTATGTTTTATATTTGTTGAGATGGATGTAGAAGTATGGAGGTTGCTTGATGTTGGGTTGAGTTTGATTGAAGTGGAATGAAGTTTTGAGCAAATTTATAGAAGTGTTTTCCTTTGACAGGGAAATTAGAGAGTATAAGGGAGCCTTTCTCCCATTTTGGATGATTAAAGAAAAGAGAAAAGTTATAGTTAAAGTAGAGATTTATATGCACATGAGTTTTATGAGGAAATGCTCAAGAGAAGCATGAGTAAGAGTAGAAAGCCTTAATTTTTGCTACATAGCATAATTGCCTCTCATAAGTGCATTAATGAGCATGAGTTATGCATTAATCATGCATTAATTATGATGAGTTATCTATATGCATTAATCATCCATTAATTATGCATTAGAAAGAGAAAGTAGAGAAATTGAGTTTAAACTACTCTAAGAGTAGAGAGAAAGAAAGAGAATGACCACTAGAGAATAAAGAGAAAGTAGTGCTAGATAAGAGAATAAAGTAGCTTGTGCGATGGGAAACCCGTGAGTAATGGGTAGAGTATTCCCGCATGTACGCCGAGTTGAGAGAGCGGCATGAGTATAAGAGAGAAGTGGTGTAGCCCGTGAGAGTGCATGTGGATGAGGGCTATACCCAAGTTTACCCAAGAGAGAGATTATGTACTCATATGACCAAGGGTTTCGAATCCATGCATAACCGAGTCCGATCGGCTAGAATGAGTAAAAGTCACAGAGAGTGGGAGTGAGTCCCAACTGTGCCTCCTGTCAGATGGGGCCGTGACTTGCTAGAGAGAGAGTTAATAGAAAAGAAAGAGAAACATAGAGAGAGAAACCGATAGAGAAAGCAAAGAGAGTAATAGGAATTGTAAGGAAAGAATTAGAGAAAGAGTTACGAGGATAGATGGGTAGAGGATTTATTTACTGAGCATTAGTTGTGCTCACCCTGTTGTTTTCCATGTTTTACAGGATCTAGATGAGGACACAGTCGGATGGACGTCGGCAAGCGAAGGGAAATGGCTACCCTGTCCACCTTGTTTTTAATGCTTTTGTACATGATATAACTTTTTGTAGAAAGAATGTATATATTTAATAAAAGAAAAAAATTTGGGCCCAACTTTTTAATACTATTTTACATGTATTTTACTATGCATATTTTATGAGAATACGAGTAGAAAGCAGGCATTACAGTGCAAGTATAAATCTTATGCTTTTTTATGTTTTCAGGAAACTAGGAATTGGTGAAGTGAAGCTGACAACTTGCAGCTTGCAAATAGATCCATAAAGCATCTGAGGGGCATTGTTGAAGATGTGCTAGTTAAGGTGGACAAATTTATTTTTCCAGCAGATTTCTTTGTGTTGGATAGGGAAGAAGACAAGGAGATTCCTCTCATCCTGGGACGACCATTTCTGGCTACTGGAAGAGCTTTAATTGATGTACAAGAGGGGAAGTTGATCATGAGAGTGCAAGATGAGGAAGTGACATTCAATGTCCTTGAGACTCTGAAGGTTCCATCGAAGCGAGATTTTTGTTTTAAAATTGACTCGGTGGATCAGTCAGAAATTAAAACTGCCCAACTTAACAATCCTAATTCGCCAATTAAAGGATGCATGGTTAAGTTAAGGCAAATCGAGGATGAGGACCATAACCCAAAAGTTTACACACCATTCTGAGATGGGTGACAATCGAGCTCGTGTCTTCACAAGGAATGGATTTCTCAGTTCAAAAGGGTTGATGGAAAGTCAAGAAAGAGGAAAGCTGTCGATGAGAATGTTTGAACCATAAAAGGAAGGACCAGGGGATGGAAATGCGTGGCTAAGCTCTCAACAAAGGTCCCATGTGACAAAAATCATCAACAATTGAAGCTTCGGTGCAAGGACAATGTTCAGGAGATGATGCATTTGGATAGTCCGGATTGATGAAGGACTTGAGAAAGTCGAGCTTCCGACTACAAACAAGCGCTTCTTGGGAGGCAACCCAAGTGTTTTCATTTGTTTGTTTGTTTGTTTGTTGTTTTTGAATTTTTTTAGTTGTTTTATGATTTAGGATAAATTTGATTTCTGTTGTTTTTTGGATGTTTCAGATGAACGATCGAATTATGGTGAAAAAGTTGAAATTTCTAGTTTTCGTCGCTGCGAGGTACAGTTTACAAAATTGGATTCAAAAAGTTCTAGACTTTGCCACGGCAAAGTTCATTCTTTGCCGAGGCGTTGTTTTCTCTGGAATTTTTCGCCGCGGCGAGGAATTTTCTTCACCATGACATAAACAGTATTGCAGAATTGTGCTAAGGAAATTTCACAGCGACGATGTTTTCATTGTATTTTTTTTTCCTCGGCAAGAAATTTTCTTTGCCGCAGCATCGATTGGGTTTTCCAATTGAATGAAGAACTTCGCCATGGCAAAGTCTGTATTCTATATATACTTGAGTCATTTTTCATTTTTTGCAAAAAGTTTCAAAACACACCCAAGAGCCAAACACCTCCACCTTCAATCCAAAGATTCTCCAGTGAATTTTCGTCCCTATACTCCACTCCTTAACCCTCGCAAACACTAAATCAACTTACTTTGGCAAGGATTTTCGTGAAATTTTGAAGAAAAAATTGTTAGAGTAGATGCCCTAGAGCCAATCAATTATTGTAGAATTAACTATTTGTAATAATATTCATTGATAAATAAAAGGCATTTTATACTATATCGCGTAAATCATCATTGTATGTATTGATATATGTCCTTAGAATGGTAGAACTGTGACGAGGGTATCAAGTGTTTCAAATCTTGATAGTGAGAACCCTATGAGCATACATGGTGGCCATTCTAGAAACGTCTATAGCCCTAGTGTTATTCTAAAGTAAGGGCATAGATAATACGGTAAGGCTGTCATAGTGTTGA